CGAACCGGTATGCCATTTCCACCACCCGAGGTTCAACTTTTGCCACCAGTTCGTCCGCCAATGAGCGAGAAAGCCATCGCTGGTACCGAGAGATTGATAATGCTGCACGAGCAGGAGCAAGCCCGTCTCGAGAGGAAACGCAAAGTAAGAAAAACTTGGATTCGGTCCTTTCTCTGCTAAATCCTTTCTCTACCAGGCCGAGGAAGCTCGAATCGCGAAAGAGCACGAAGCACAGGATAAGCGGATGAAAAAGGAAATGGAGAGGCAGGAGGCAATGCGGAGAAAGGTTTAGTTTTGTTTCTTTGGGCCGTGATGGATTTTACTGAGTGAGTTCGTGCTTTTGTATATTTCTTAGCAGAAAGAGGATCAAGAGAGGAAAGAGTCGGAGAAAGTTCACAGGGAGAAGCAAAAGGAGCTTGAAAGGCTGGCTCGGGAGAAAGCTCGCGAAGAGGAGCGCCTCCAGAGGCAGCACAAGAAAGAGTATGAGCGCATGGAAAAGCTATTGCAGAAAGAAAACCAGCGAGTAAGTGTTTGGTTTTTCGTTTCCAAGTTCACTCCTGGACTTTTGTGTTACACAGGTTGCAAAGCTTCGTCAAAAGGAAGAGATGAGACGAGAGAAAGAGGCCACGAAGCTGAGGGCTGCTTACGAGCGAGCCACAGCGAAAAAACTTGCCAAACTTTCAACGGGGCTTATCGATGACGAGCAGCTGGAGCTGATGCAAATGGGAGCTTTTGTGCAAGGACTTATCTCCGGCTCTGAATTTGATCCAAACAAGAGTAAGAAAATGACACTCTGGTGAAAAGTCTTACACGTTTCTTTTTACTCGTTTTTCTTGCTGAAAACAGTTGAATTGCCGATGTTTCCTCCTGCTTCTGTCCGCATGAAACCACCTATTGGAGTTCCTCCCTGGAATGACTCAAATCACAACGTTGCTAACCTCTTCATGGTATACTCGTGGTTTTCTAGTTATCCTTTGTGTCATACAAAACGTCCTCTCAGGTGTGGAGAATGCTCACTAACTTCGCAGACGTGATTGGTCTGTGGCCATTCACTCTGGATGAGTTTGTACAGGCGCTACATGACTATGTAAGTGTGATGTTTCTCTTTCGCTCCTAACTCTACTTCGTTTTTTCTTCAAGGATTCGAGACTCTTGGGAGAAATACACATTGCTTTGCTGAAAACTCTGGTGAAAGACGTCAAAGACGCGTCACAGGCAGCTGCGATTGGAAGTAACCAAGCACTGGCAGTCGCATCGGGAGGACATCCGGAACTTGTCGAAGCAGTATTGTTTTTTCTTCCTTTCTTGAGAAAAAACTCCTCATCCTTGGTTTCCAGGCGTATGCATGGGGCTTTGATATCCAAGAGTGGGGACAGCACGTAAATGCTCTAACTTGGCCAGAGATTTTAAGGCAGTTTGCTCTAGCCTCCGGCTATGGTCCCAGATGGAAGAAGAAAATTACCGAGACAGCTCCTAGCACACCAGTAGCGGAAGTAAGTTTCTCATTTTTCCAGCTCTAAAGTCTTTCTTGTTCTTACGTGTTTCCTTGCTCAGGGAAAAAATGCCGAGGACGCAGTTGCCAACTTACGTTCCGGTGCCGCAGCTGCCAATGCTGTCACTCAAATGCGAGGAAGAAACTCCAGCCGTGTTCGAAAGCAGCAGCAGCAACATAAGCCTGTTCTCACTCCAGGCACAGTGAAATTCGCTGCGTTCCAAGTTCTCTCGGTCGAAGGGAGCAAAGGCCTCACTATCTTGGAAGTGGTCGACCGTGTCCAGGTAAAAGTATACATCACTCGGAACAAAACTGACTTTCCATTTTTTTTTCCAGAAAGCTGGCCTACGCGACTTATCGACGAGTAAGACACCAGAGGCATCGATCTCGGCTGTCCTCTCCCGAGACACAAAACTGTTCGAGCGCGTAGCACCCTCCACGTACTGCGTGCGCCCCGTGTTTAGAAAAAGCCCGGAGGAAGCCGAGGCCGTGCTCCAGGCCGCTCGCGAGAAGATTCGCCAGTGCGAGAGCCGGCTCTCGGACGCCGAGCCGGAGCCTCTCGAGGAGGATATCATCGAAGAGGCCGAGGAAAGGGAGGAAGAGGAAGAGTGTGACGAGCAAGATATCGAAGAGACCGAAGAACGAGAAGTTAAAAACGAGACTGCCACCACGACCATTAGCACGATCGAAACCACCGTTACCACCACCACCACCAACAATAGTCCTTCGAGTAGTGGAAAAGTGATACTGCGGCTCAAAGTTGGGAAGCTAACGCCAAGCTCGGATGCTCCAGCGGTAGAAAGCGGGCAGAAGGAGGAGTGTGTAAAGGCCGAGCCGGAGCGGCTTCACAGTAGCTTAGATATGAATGTGGAGAGCGTAGAAGGGCTGGCACAGGAAAGCAGCGATGGCATGGAGATAGATGAGAGTCAGGTTGGTGAAGTTTGGGTGCAAGGACTCATGGAAGGCGAGTACACGGATTTGAGCGTCGAGGAGAGGCTGTGTGGATTGGTTGCTCTCGTGGATGCTGTCAACCAAGGGAGCACTGTTCGCTCGGCCATAGAGGTGAGTTTTTCTTTGTTTTCATCACTCAAAGTTTGCATATAAACTTTGCATTCCAGGAGCGATACGAGGCTGCGTCGGCTCTCAAGAGACAGCTCTGGGAGGAAGTCCAGATCGATAAGCGTCGGCTAAAAGAAGAATGCAGCAAAGCCGAGGCTGCAAAGGTCGACGAGACGAATCTGCAACAACAGCAAGTGGATGAGAAACCACTGCTGCAAGCTCTGGAGAATGGATCACAGGAGGCTCAGGAGCAGCAGCTGGATGGAGATGAAGATGGCAGCTCCAATCCTGCGCAAGCCTTGAGCGAAGATCCAAACGAGAGGCAGCAAAAGTGTGCTTCGCAGCACTCGGACAGGTCCCGGGCCGATATGAAAGCCGATATCAGGTTGCGAGCGGAGAAACTCTACGTTATTCGGTCGCTTCCTCTAGGTTTGGACCGGAGGCACAACCGGTACTGGCAGTTCGTCACTAGTAGTAGCGGACACGACCCTGGGTGTAAAAGGATCTACTTTGAATCGCATGAAGATGGCCACTGGGAAGTCATCGACACCGAAGAGGTGAGTGTAGTATCCTTCATCTTTTTGAGTTGCATGGCTTTAGAGAAATGTTTGTTCTCCCAGTTTTCATGGATGGTTTTCGTTTCTTACGTGCAAGAGTTTTCTTTTCTCTTCTCTTATTGGTCACTCACTAAACAAAGTTTGTGTCCATTTCGGCAGGCTTTGAATGCGCTGATGAACTCTCTGGACATAAGAGGCACGAGAGAAGCAAATCTCTTCGTAGCTCTCAAGGAGCTTGAAGGCTCGCTAAGGCAAGCCATGAGCAGCTCTAGCACCAAGCAGAACCAAGACCACCACCAAAGTCACCACACCGGAAATGGAAATGGAGCTGGAGTTCAAGCTGGAGCTGCGAGTGGAAATGGAAATGGAAACGACTCTTGCGAGGGGAGTCCATCTTCCAGCGCCGTGGTTGGAAATGGCGGCAAAGACTCGACGAGCTCCGACGCTCGGGTAGGATCGCTTAAAGTCGAGCTCGGAAGATCAGCGTCGGAGAACTCCGGTGCCATGGAACGATACAAAGACATGGAAAGGTGGCTGTGGAGGCACTGCAGCGTCAAGGCGCTGCAAAGAGGTGGCGAGAAGCGACGAGAGAGCGAGAGCGATGGGATGATCGCCGAGTGTGAGTCGTGCCATGACTTGCGCTGGGCCGTCGACAAGCACTGCCCGTTTTGCCACTCCACCGGCGAGGAAGATGTCTGGAGTGATTTCTCGCAGCACGTCCGCGACTGCGAGCAAAAGATGATCAGCAGGGATCCCGCCTGGAGAATCCAAGGTGGTGTTCTTCCTCCGCGAATACAGTTGCTCAAGAAACTGCTGTTTCTAGTCGAGGTAACTTTCGTTTCTTCTATTGCATTGTCTTGAAACGCTTCCTTCTTCCCTAGATTTGTATTCCTTGCGAGGCACTTAAGCCTGCATGGTCGACAAATTCTTACAGAAAGGCGTGGTGTCAAAGGCTCAAGGTTGCTTCTTCGGCAGGAGAAATTCTCCAGGTAGAGTTAAAAGTTTTGGAGCTTGGTGCTATCTTTCTTTATCTCTTTTTCTTGTTTTCTTTGCAGGCATTCATGGATCTGGAGGGAGCAATCGACGAGGACTGGATCTCTTCCTCGTACGAGTCGATCGAGCAAGTTGGCAGACTCATCGGCATTCAGAGAAAAAATCCCCCCTGGATCCCGCAGACCTCCGCTGCTGTTGCTCTTCGACTGATGGTCTTTGACTCTTCGATCGCCTACACCGAAGAACAAAAGCAGCAGCTCATGGACAGGCAACGAAGAGTAAGCCATCCATCCATTTCGCGTGTTCTTTTGCTTACTTTTCCTGAGTTTTTACTTTCGTTCGTGTTTTTAAGTTGAGAATCGGTTCTTACGTTTCTCTCCTTCCAGGTTCCAATGAGAAGATCGAAAGGAGAGGCCCGCGAAGTTTTATACGAGGCTGGTAGTGCTAGGCCGGCAGAAGGAGAGGAAGACAAAGAGACCAAGGAGGCAGAGTTTAATTCTCAAGAGGAGGAGCTACCACCACAGTTTTACGAGAGGAGTGGTGGTGACTTTGGAGCTCATCCATCTTGGAGCGCTCGGCAAGAGAGCGCCGCCGTTCTACTGGAAGAGGAAGAAGAAGATGATGAAGACGAAGATAAGAGGCTGGCAATGAAAGCTAGTGGCGAGAGTGACGATAGCTCGCAGATGAACTGGGAAGGCCAGGATTCTTTCGAGGAGCTCGAGCAGCCAGGCCATGGAAGCCTCCATCATCTGGAAGAGCTGGAGATGGAGGAGGAAGAGGATGGATTGATGTTGGAAGAGGAGGAGGAGCTGAGTGACGAGGAAGAGGAGAGCGAGGAGGAAGAGTTCCAGCAGCAAGCGTCGAGCAGTGATACGGACGAAGAGCAAAACAAGCACGACAACTTGGTGGTGGCCAAGAACTTGATCAACATCAATGCGAGCTTGGAAGAAAGCGGTGATGATCTTCATACTGCTGCTGCTGCTAGCAAGATCAATGGCGGTTCCAGCGAGAGAGTTGTAAACTGCGGCTTGACAAGCGAGTTAGAGTTTGAGCGGGGGACGTATGAGGAGTGAGTGGAAGTTTTACTTTCTCCCATACAGCGAAGGTGTCTCTCTTCTCGTCGTACAGTTTGATTTGTGAATTCAACCCTGACTTTTGTATGTAATTTCTTCTAGGAAAAAAGGTTTCTTTATTCTATGAATTTATTGATTGCTTTGAGATGTCCTAGATTAAACATTTGACAGAAGGCAGAAGAGACTCGTTCTTCATTTTCTTGATACTTAAAAAAGTGATGTGTGGGATTATGATTGAACGCTTTTAAGTCAGAATCTGTGCTACATACCTGATTAAGGTTAGGAAGAATTATAATCCATGTTTGAATTAAATCCAGAATATTCTTATTCTAGAGTCTTAGAACCCTAAACGTCCAAACCCTAAAGTTGAGGGTGGCATCGATGGATGCATCGGAACTGGAGAGTGACGCAGCGGCATCGGAACTCGAGAGTGATGCAGCGGCTGAGTTGATGCTTTTGGAAGAGGAGCCATTCGTGAGAGGTAGTGTCAAAGCTTACCTTGCTCAGCCTATGAGGGCTGTGCCTGCTGGGGTTGACGCATATCATCGTTTCCTGTTGTCGACATCACCTCCTCTGGTGGATCTCTGCCCGCAGGACTTCGAGACGGACTGCTGGGATAGCTTCCTCTGTGATATGAATTCTTGGTTCTCTGGGCTTCCAGACAGGCCTCTGAGATCAAAGCCAGAAGTGCTGATCGATCTTCATTTCAGAGGTTTCCTTTTCTCAGCGGCTGACACGGTGCTGCAACTCGTAAAGGGACCCAAGGATGTGTGTGCTGGCATGGCGAGCTATGCCATTGGGAACTGGATAGGTGCGCCGGAGCTTGTGGTGAGCAGCAAGGGCCATAGCCCGCTTGTTGTTGGTGTCATGGTGGGGGTCATTGACACGGGAGCAGTTGCGAGGGTCTATGCTTACATGCTGAGCAGTGGTTCTTCGTTTGGGGTCGTCTCATCCTACGCAGAGACGAAGTTTTGCGCGCGCTTGGACAACCGGTTTCTCTTGTCAGACCCTGTTCCACTTCCGCTTATCGGCATCAGGTTTCTGATTCACATGGCTACTGGACACAGGGTGCAGCAGAGTACCAGGCCACTACCTTCTCCACGAGGCTTTGCGTCGCGCTTTGCGATGGGTGTCTTTGAGACGTGCTGCCATGTCGCAGGGGTGCATCGCATGGCCAAGATGGTCCACGAAGTGGGCAGCTTGGAGGCTCGGGATCTTCAGATTCTAGAGTTTTTGTCCGGGGCCACGGGAAGGATTTCCGCTGTTTACCGTGCTCTGTACAAGGGCAAAAACGTCGTCGTGAAGATCACGGACTTGACCACAGGTTAAAAGCTTATTTCTACCAGCCCAGAGCTTTCACCAAATTGTGATTGGCTTTTGCAGGTGTTACAAGTGTCCAAGACTGCTTGATGAAGTGTGTGAGGGAGGTGGATGCGTACATTCGGCTGCATAAGCTGCAGCGAACTTGTATCCCTTGCTTGTTTGAGTATGGGTTCTTGTGCGGCGGGATGTTCTTCTGTGTGGTGATGTCGGATGCTGGCAACTCGGCAGGAGAGGGGTGGTCGCCGGTCGATCAGGACGAGGTAGAGGCCGTCGTGTCTCGAGCACGAAAGGCTCTTGAGAGCTTTCATGCTCGTGGAGTGGCCATGGGTGACCTTTGCGTCGAGAACATACTTGTTTGGCCACATGACAAGAGAGTCGCCATAGTCGGCTTTGAGGAGTGCCTGGTGGGTCCAGCTTGTTCTAAGGTGGCCATGGGCAACGATATTATTGCTCTTCGCGAGTGTGAGCTTGTGTTACAGCAGATGGTGTTACAGGAGATGGCGTCCATGAAAGCGACGCGCTCACGAGACACGAGGGGTACTGCCACAGCGGACTGGGAACTCTGGCTTGCAGACGTGGTCGATTCTGCCGAGTCTGGTGTGAATCTAGAGGATACAGAGGAGACAGAGGATACAGAGGATACAGAGGATACAGATACAGAGGTTTGTTTCAGCTTTACTGCTATTAGGTACTTATTATGTCTTGCAGGAGTAAGCTGACGAGGTTCTCCAGCTTTGTTCTTTCTGTGCTTTCTTGTTTTTTCTTTTCCTTTGCTGTCTTACTTCTAATCCACTCACAAAGATTAGATATTCATGATATTTCCCAGCAGTTTGTAGAAGTTTTCTAGAGTTGCTAAGTGGTGGAATAGTGCATGGCCAAACTTCACAGTAAGCAAAGGCAGAGGTCCACAACGAACGGGAAGCTCCACAAAGCACCTCCACAAACAGCTTTCAGGCTTGTGAACAGTAACTTGTCAAAAGTTGGAGAGGAGAGCAAAGTCAGGTGGGACTCAGGCATCAGCAGCGGGAGCTGGCACAGACTTTGATGGTGAAGCCAAGGCTTCCTCCACCATCTCTATTCCTGTTGCTCATCTTTGCCTAAGAGGGTGTTGTGTGGAGGGTTCTTGTCTTTGAGGTGTTAAATTTGATTATAGTGATCACAGGCTTTAGAAAAGCTCGAATTAAGACGGTTCATTGATGAGGATAGTTTGAACAGGGCTACGGCCTGGAAGACAGGAGAACATCATATTATACATAGTAGAACATACAAGATGTTCACATTCTAGCTGACTGCCAGGACTTCCACCAATGCATGAAAGAACTGATTGCCACCTCCTGTGTTGCCACTGCAAAGCATTAGGACGCATTTGTATATTCTAGGCATCTTCTATGTACTGCGTGGCGCCTATGCCATTCACTTTTTTGACAGAATTTCCAGGAATGTTTGCTGTGGCGGTGGCGTCAAAGGGACTCCACCACTGTGTTGCTGGCTACGGCTGCTAGGTGAAGACTGAAAAGGGAACAATGGCTTTCCTCACAACTCATATGACAAGGCAGCAGGTTTAAACCAATTAGTTTATGAGAGAAGCAAAAGATTTTTCCTGCAGCTTTTCTCTTTGGATTGCCTTGCCAAGCCTATGTGGTTTTCCAGAGGCAAAAAGGGATTGAATTCGTGAAGTTTAGTAGCATGAACTTAATTCTTCTGACTTTATGTATTTGGACATGCTAATGATTATGATGATGCCTTTTAACAATTGCATTGTTTAAATCAAGGGGCATTTGAGTTAATTATGCAATTCAATATTCAATCTCTGAATTTTTTATTTCGTACAAAGCCAAATGTATAATGCATAAAGTTGGACATGTTATGGCTAACACTTTGTTAAGATTTTGTGGTACATTTGCACTAATCACCCATGACAATGCTCTATGACTTGCACAATATTATGAGATATCACTTCTCCCACTTATAGTTGCATATGTTTTAACTCCATTTCCTGTAAAAGATACTTTTGTTTTTATATGATGTTATTATTACTTATGCTCAAAGGACAAAAGTAAAGACATAATCATGGTTGTGACATTTGTTACTCGGTGTGTGATGAGATTACTTATATGTATTAGTGTCATTAGTGTTTCCTAGATTAACATCTTCTATTTCTTGGGTGGAGGCCTTCGCATCAATAATTCCTTATAGGTACTACTGTAATGGAAAGTCATGATATAAAAATTCTTTAGAGTAATAAGAGTTTTTTATCCTTCTTTTGGAAGAACCATCAAGAAGTTCATTTAGCATCAATTCATCAAATATTCACTTTCCAAACTTTTTTTTTAATAAAAGGTCCTTTATTATTTTCTTTATATTGGTTGATATATGTTTAAAAATCTATCTTTTATTGCTCTGCTTGTTGCCATATATTGCCTTCTACAATTGCATTAGTATAATCATGCTAAATGTGATTTTGAGACTTCTCCCCTTTATATAATACTCTTTCATATCTTTTTTATATCTCTTGTATTCTCTACTTTATCTTTTTATTTTCACCTCTATTTCCATCATTGTTTTTTCCATTACTTTTTTTTTTTTTTTTCTATTCTTCTATTCCCTTTTCAAATCACTTGAATGGTTTTTAGTTAAGGCAATTGACTAACTCAAGAAGAAGTATAGTGATCTTTTCACCTTTGATTTATCTTTTGAGGTTAAGATTGCATCCATCATCCAATCACAATTAAAGATGATTGACCAATTAAGATTTATTTTTAGCAATCGTTATAAAAAAGATTAAAATCTTATATGCAAATAGTAAGGAAATGTTAGAAAAAAGGTGTTATTTGAAAGTATTGAAATCCTTGAATATGTGAGCTTTATCTTGTGATAAATTTTAATAGGAGCATTTAATTTTATATAAACTATTATGTAATAAACGATGTAACTATATCAAATATGTACTCTCTTCCTGATACTATTGTTTGGGGAAAAATCATTAATTCACCAAGTTAAATCTTGTTTCTAAATACTAAGAAGTGTTAATGGTTGGAAAGAAAAAAAACTTTTTATACACTATTTGATTTGTACGAGTTCTTGGTGATGCTATTTGATTTAAACAATACTTTAACATAATAGATGATAAATAAAGTTCTTTATAATATGTCAAAAATGGCATTGACTTCATCAATGATATCTTTATCCTTTTGAAAAGGATATGGGAAGAGCACATTTGTGATATCCACAAAATGTTGAACAATTCATGGAAAGATAGTTTGAAATTAAAGTGATTGAAATGCACATTTAGGTCTAAAGACATGACTTATCTCGAGTATTATATTTCTCCTGAAGGCTTGTAAGTTAATTTTGATAAATTTATGTCATTAATCATACTTGCACCATTCCAAATGTTGATGAAGTTATCAACATTATTTTGTATTTGGTCTTAGGACTGCGAGTAAACATTTAAGAAAGTGTTAACAACTCTTTCAAAATTGGCAACTACACTTGATTTTTTATCTTGCATATATATACTTTTAGTATTGGTATCGAATGTGTCTTGATGCAAGAGAGCACAAGTGTATTTAGTTAACATCATCCCATTGCATACATCAACTATATTACAACTAATAAAAGTGAACTACACAATAAAGAAAGTCTCTCAAAAAGTTTCATGCATACTTGCATGGTTCTTTAATGTTGCTAGAGAGTAATTATATTTCAATCACTTTATTATTAAAGTGAAAGAACTTGAATAGTCATATTGTTTAATAGAATTTGAAGCTTTAAATATATAACTTCGAGGTTATTTATT